TATTGTGTGTCTGTGGTGACCTATTGTGTGTCTGTGGGGATGCTGTGGCTGTGTTTGTGCTGCGTGTCTACCTGAATGAGCAGCTTCTGACTGGGTGCGTTTGTTTCGTTGGCGCTCAGAGACGGTCGCTGAGAGAAGGCGGAGCTTGGCAGAGACAGGAAGGAGGCGTCGTCTTCACCATCACTCATCAGGAAGTCCACTGAGGTCGCTACGGAGACAAACAGACAGCGTTAGTCAAGCACTGCTGTTCTTTAGCCACAGAAGTCTGACACTCGGTTCATCATCATGTGTGACACAGAAAAGCAGCAAAACCTGAAACCTGGCTTCTGAAAATGTTCCTGCTTCAGAACCAGCAGCTCAGCATGGAGAAATGTTCCTGCTCAGTGTTTTAAACCTATAATCAGATTTGAAAGCGATCACTGATTATGGAGGCCGGCGACACCAGAGACGACCTGAACTGAATTCTTTCACCGAATCGCCTCCGAATAAACCTGCAGCTCTGAAACCATGGAAACCAGTCGGACCAGATAAGAGCCGATAAGAGCTGCTGACACATTAACCTGCCGGGAGAGAGCGTGTCGGGTGTTTCCACTGCGTGTCAGAGTGTGTTTGATTGTGTGTCAGAGTGTGTTTGATTGTGTGTCAGAGTGTGTTTGATTGTGTTTTGGTGTTATCCAGTGAGCCGGGCCTTTAATCCGACCCACCTGAGAACAATCTGCTCTCTGTGAGTAAATCTGAGCATTAAACACAATCAGCTGCAGCAGGTCGTGTCTGTTTGAGCTGAAGGTCTGAACTCAGCCACAGAAACGTGTTGGACTGAAATCATATCGACACTGGGTCAGGATTTGATCTGAAAGTGATTCTAGCTGCAAGTTATCAGCCTGAATGGTTCTGGACCAACAGAACCAGCAGCAGGCGGACCCACTGGAACCTGGTTGTTGGTACTGAGAGCAGCTGCACATGTTTATAAGTTATGAAACCACATTCAGCCTGCTGTGGTCGTCGTCCTGCATCCGTCTGGAGGGATTTCATGTCTTCTGATCATCTTGTTTTTCTTCATTTTGTCTCTTTTTGTGGTAATTTTACAGAATTTTTGTGGACATTTCCTCTTTTGTTAATGATTTTTGCAGCGTCGCATGTTTCTGTCTTAAGTTTGCATCTGTTTCTGGGGATCTTCACACCTTCTCCTACAAGACCTCCTGAAACCCTGACCGGCCAGCTGCTGCTTCCAGATGATCCACATGTTAAACTTTCTGTCCATCAGTTTGAACTAAACGCAGAAACGCGACGACTTGTTGACATCAGTTCGTTTGGAGTCGACCGGTTCGTTGTAAGCGTTCAGATCTTAGCGGCTGAAGATGCGGTCGGAGGAGACAACCTCCACAGAGCAGCAAACAGGAAGTCGTCCTGAGGAGAAGGCCCTCTGTTAGAAACCCACCGCCTGGTTCTGTTGTTCCTGAACACGTGAACAGGAGCCGGGGTGCAGATGATGCAGTTCCTGCGTCTGAACCTGGAACCTGCTCCAAACCGAACACTGACGGATTAGAAAACAGGATTAGACGCATAAAGAAACTCACTGTTTGCATTTTCTGCATCACACAGAAAAATGTCGACACGAGCAGAAAGCTGCAATCACACGGTCAGAACTCAGACCAGAACCGTCCGTCTGAGTCCAACTGGGTCACATTCAAACTGTGATCAGATCCATAAATGAGCTGATCTTTCATTGCGTGAGGGGAAACGCCTCTGTGTGGGGGTTCTGACAGGACGGTTCAGACGGACAGAGACCGGGTCAGAAACCGGCCTCAGTGTGTAGAACAGAGAGAACTGATGATATTAGATGAACGTGCAGCCGTAGCTCCGCCTCTCACTGACTGTCTCTGCTACCTGGACTCATCTCCAGGTGAGTCCAGACGTCTCTCAGAACCTTTCATTCTGATGTTCTGACACTCCAGAACCCTCAGATCTTCCTTCAGCGTTCTGTTATCATGGTCACACCTCTGTGTTCAACTCCAGACCTCCAGTCAGGCTTTGGCTGGTTCTGGTTCTGGTTCTGGACCATCTCCATCTTACTCTGAACAAGTTTCAGACTAGATTTAATCATCTTGTGTGAAACGTCGACCCCAGACTGTACTTCAGTAGAAACATGGATCCATCCATAGACAGGAGCGTTCTGGATCAACACCAGCTTTGACTAAACATTTTTAAAGATCAGTAACTGAACTGGATCCGTCCAGTTGTTCTGAAGAATCCATTCTGTCTGTTTCACCACATCTCTGCAGACACTGAACCTTTCAAACTGGATTCTTATGTTTTTTAAGGGTGAAAATACTCCAGGTCTGAAAACATGAAACCCTCAAAGCACAGCCTCTGTGTTCTACAGAACCGGGCCAAGGACAGAAGCAGCAGAACTCAGCTCATCGCTGCAGCTACGAACAAGCCTCAGCTTCAGATCCCCGGCCCGGTATAAAGGTGTGTTTTGTGGACGCAGCGATAAAAGACAAACAGCAGCAGAACAAAGGCTCCAGTGTCTCTGATCTCCTGAGACCGAAGCCGAGACCGAAGCCGGGCCTCAGCAGCAGAACTCCTGAGTGAAGCCGTAAAGGTGAGACTCACCTGTCGGTCCTGACGGTTGCTCTCAGCCCTGCTGTCGGCTGCTGTCAGGTGTGACTCACCTGTCCTCCCTCACTCACTCACACAGAAAAATGCAGCCACACTGGTGCCTGAAGCCGCCTCCCCCCCGTGACTCACCGTCCAATGAGACGTCTTTCTTCCAGAGCTCCTGCAGGCAGGGGGCGTGGCCGAGGTCCCAGGTCTTTCTGGTGCCAAACATGACCGCCGGGCTGAGCAGAGCGCTGGACCGCTGGACCGGCTGAGGACAGAGAGGACAGCAGGGTTAGATGAAGACGGCACAGAGGGACAGCGCCCCCTGCTGCACCAACGCCTGGTTTTACACTGAAACACTGAATACAGAGTCCACAGGCTCAGCAGCTCACAGAGCGCCACACGCTGGACAGATTCAGCTACTACACAGACAGCTGTGTGGGTCTCTGTAGGACTGTCACGTTGTTCTCATCCTGTTGTGTCATTCTGTGTCTCTTTGGGACAGTTTTATCTCCTTTGATTTGTCTTTTTTCTGGTTTGTGTTATTTTGCGTCTCGCTTTCTGGCAGCTTTTTGTTTGTCTTTCTTTCATTGTGTGTTTTGTTTTTCTTGTTT